GGCCCCCACGCAAAGATATCAGCATACTCCCGGAGTATGGCCAAAACTTCCGCTCGAAGCTCGGGGGTGAGGGCTCGGCCAATCTTGATCTTCCTATCCGGGCGATCCTCGGATAGGGGAACTTCTTCTATTTCTTCGGAAGGCTCAGGCTGCTCCTTCCGTTCCTTAGCCTCCTCTTTGGCTATGGTGTTCACCCGGGAAGATGGACCGGAGTCACGTCTGTTGACCGCTCGGGTGTAACACTTTCGGGCGGATTGGACATCGCCACGGACCACGCCGACCCCGTTAGGGGTGGGGAATTTCATGCACAGGTGGGGCATAGAAATTATCCCACCGATCTTCATGATGGCGGGTCGGCCCAAAATAATGTTGTGGACGCAATGGAGGTTGACCACAACAAATTCCAGCTCCGTCTGGATCGACTTTGGAGGTGTGCCGATCTCTACCGGGAGCGTTATCTTTCCCTCGGGGTAAATGAGAGCCCCGGTGAATCCTGACAGTGGTACACCGACCGGAGTCAGCTCCTTCCTGTCGAGGCCAAGCTTCTCAAACACGTCCAAGTATAGGACGTTCACACTGCTGCCCGTGTCCACCATAACCCTTTGGACGTCCGTCCCCTTAACGTCAATCGTGACCACGAGCGCCTCCATGCCGTGGTCGCTGCTGGTAGGTTGGTCCTCAAGGGTGAAGGTTATGGGCTCCATCTTCTGCCTCTTCCCGGTCTCCCGGGAATCCACTATAGCGACCGGGCAATTAGTCCGTGGTCGGGAAGCATCTTCCAGTCCGCCAAAAATGACGTGGATGGTAGGCTTTCCGGACGGGCGGCTACCAGACGGAGGGTCGGGGTCCCGCCGGTCATCATGACGATCATCCCTTCGATCGTCCCTTCTATCTTGCCCAGATCGATCAGAGCGGTGGTGGGAACGTCTATGATCCCTCCGCTCGGTGTTCCTCTTGTTGTCCTCTCTCTTCCCCACACACTTGTCCAATTTTCCCATGTTGAGCAGATCTTCCAACAATTGGCGTAAGTGGGTACACTCCTCGGTGTCATGCCCGGCACATCGATGGTAAGCACAGTGCTTACTCTTGTCAGGGCCGTCTCGATCGGGATGGGGGAGTTTGATGAGATTGCAGGATTGGGCGTATTGCATGGCCTCCGCTGCGGATCGGTTTAAGGCCGTAAACTCGCCAGGCCTGGTGCGGGATCGGGGATTGTCATCTCCCGACCGATGCTCCGCCCGGCCGGCCGGCTTACGGGACGAAGAGCCGACCTCCTGCAAGCGCTTTACGGCGTTCGCCTCGCCGGCGTTGGCGTAATCTGCGACCCTCCGAAGGGCCTCCTCATAACTGGTCGGGGGGTGTAGGATGAAGTCCTGATATAAATGTCCCGCCTGGAGAGATATGTGAAGCATGTGGGTGGCGGTCGCATCGTCCATAGGCTCGACCTCTCCGACCGCTGCTTTCCATTTGATGAGGAAATCGGTCAAGCTTTCCCCTTCTAATTGCTTGGCCTTCTCGAGATACATGTAGGATTTCCTCACCACTTTGGAAGTGATGAACTTCCTCACAAATTTGATCGCCAGGGTCTCAAATTTATCAATCGACCCCGGTTGCAGGGTACGGAACCATTCTGCCGCTCGACCGGTGAGGGTCGAGTAGAAGGCCCTGCACATCACGGCGTCCGAAACGCCCTTCAGCATCATGTTGCTGAAAAAATCATTCACATGGGCCTCAGGATCTGCCCGCCCGTCATAACTCTTCTCCCCAGAGACCTTTAAGTCAAGCGGGTAAGGCTGGGCCATCACCGCTGCTGTGAAAGGCGTCTGGTGCAGGGTCGATTGGTTGACCGGGGGTGTTCCAGGGTACGCATTCCTGAGCTGCGCAACTTCCGCTTGGAGGTTATAGAGCAATCCTCGGGTTTCGTTGAGCTCGGCGGCTTGAGCGGCTTGGGCTGTATCCCTAGCGCGTCGCCGTCGGTGAGACCTCGACCCGCTATACCCAGATGAAGCCTCCTGGCTAGCCTCCTGCATCTGTGTGTCTTCTTGCCCGCGGTTCGGGTCTTGGGGTCCCAAACGCTGGTGCATCTCTGGTCGTAGACGATCAAAAGCTACCGATCGGGCAACTTCTTCAGGGTCCTCCGCTTGAACGGCCTGAGCCGGTGCCTCCATCGCATCAGCACCCCCCGACCCCAACCGCGAATGAGCCGAGCGTCGAGCCCGGGATGCGGACTGACGCTGCGGCTCTGCCTGTGCGGTCGGTTGTACTGGAGGGGCGGCGGCTGGAGCTGTATAAGCAGGCGTATATGGTGGATAACCAACCGGGGAAGTGTAGCACATCGGCTGGCCTGGCCAATACCCGTACGGTGGAGGTGGGACCGGGTATGGATACTGGGCGGGATACATCATCGGCTGCTGCTGGTATGGCAGACCGGGTGTCGGGTATCCCGGTTGTATGTAATTCACCGGCTGCTGGGCGGCCGGGTACGCATTTGATGGATGCGGTGGTGAGAGGTTGAGGTTGAGGTCCATCGTCTGACCCTGCTGTTGGGTAGCATAGTGGTCGGAGGAGCTCGCCGCATCCGCCTGGTCGTCAGCAAAGTTGTTGTGTGCCCACGGATACATGTCGATATAGTGATCGGGTGCTCGTCAAGACGTTGGTTTCTTGCACGGGTCCCCACAGACGGCGCCAAAATGATACTGCTAATTATACGTAAGCAATATATAACAACACGAGACCAATTAAAGCAAGTAAATATCTTTATTGGTCACGGTAAAGGCCCTAAGTACAATCTACTTGGTTGCTCTGAGTGCCGACTGACTGCGGTCGGGATTCTCTAACAACAACCTATCGATCGTCCAAAAGTCCCTTACACTGTAGCTACTGTGGGTATTTATAGTCGCTATGCCGGGGACAGGATTCCAGCCGTTCGGCATGCCCTCCACGTAGCCACCACGTGTCGTCCTCCCGGGTGCCCTGTCTGTCGTCGTAGAGAATTGCCACGTGTCTTTCGTCAGCTCTCTCGCCAAAGGGCTACCGCTCGGTGGTTGACATCGTTGCTCGGGCAACTCCCGGTCGGACCCCGACCGGGTTCTTCACAAGGAGCCCGACCAGTTACCTGCAAAGACAAAGAGGAAAAGACAAAGGCTTCTCGGCCGTGGTGAAGCTATGTCGGTCGGGATATTCCCTACCAGCTACCTTAAGATAGCGTTTCAAAATAAGCTCCTAGTTTCCTAACTTTTTTTTTTCATCTTTATCCTTATTATTTTAAAGAAATGACATAATTTACCCTTCCCAATTAAAACTATTTTTTCTCTACTCCTTTATCCGCAACTTTCACCGCAAATATTATTATTATTATTATTATTATTATTATTATTATTATTATTATTATTATTATTATTATTATATTTGTAACAATATTGTTACTTCATTATGATATGCTAGATCATGATTATGCTAATAGTTTTATTTCAAAATGTTAATTTTTTTAAAGACAAAATGTTAAATTTTAATATGTAAACAAACTAATTTAAATTTTATAAAAATGTCGTTTTTAGTCTTTTTACATTTATCAGCTTATCAAAAAGCTAATTTTACCAAACACTTTCAATCATAACAGCTAGCTTAACAATTCTTTAGTTTTCAGTTCCGAGCTTATTGCTTTTCAGCTTTAAGCTCATTTTCAGCTTTCAGCTCATAACTTATAGCTTTTCAGCTAATTTTGCCAAACAGAGCCTTAATTGGACTCTTATGAATTTAAAATCTTACAATTGTATATACAAAAATTCAAACTCTTTACAAAAATTAAATTGTATATACAAAAATTCAAACTCTATATAATTCAAACTCTTTACAAAAATTAAATTGTATATACATATGTATAGACAAATTCACATATTTTTTCAGATAGGACAAATACTACTTAAACCATCTCAAAACTTTCTCAACTCAACATATATACTTTGAAAATAAATTTCCCATTCGTCCATTATTTATTTTGAGCTTATAATATATCAAATTATCATTCCAATTAGAGAATTCAAATCCATTTTAACGCAAACCAAATAAAAATGGACTCCACTCAAATTAATACCTTAAAACTACCCTTTAAAATTTCAATTGAGCAAATACCAATTTTGGTCTCACGAGTATTAGTAAAATGACGGTTTTAGTCCACATGTTTCATTTCTACCAATTTTCATCCACGACTATTGTTTTAGTACCAATTTTCATCCACCATTATTATTTTAGTACAAAAATTCATCATCCCGGTCACCCTTCCATTTAAGACATGCCAAAATCCAAACATTTTAAGGGTCCGTTTGGAAAGCAGGAAAATGACTTCTGGAAAATGAGTCATTTTCCAAAAGTCATTTTCCTTTCTGGTGTTTGGCTGCAAAATGGAAAACTGTCTTTTGGTGTTTGGCTCATTTTCTGGAAATGATATAGAATTGTATAATTAAACATTTTAAATAATTAATTATTTTGTTTAAAATATATAACATTTACAATAATATTATAAATAATAATATTTATTAATAAAATCAAATAATATTATTTAATAAAAAAAATTAAAAAAAAAAAAAAAGAAAACAACAAAACAAAAAAAAAGGCGGAAACCAGAGAGTTGTACTCTCTGGTTTCCGCCATTCTCTCTGGCTTCCGGCCTGAAAGGCGGAAACCAGAGAGCTCTCTGGTTTCCGCGGCCGGAAGCCAGAGAGAAGATCTCTGGTTTCCGGCGGAAACCAAGGAGAAGCTCTCTGGTTTCCGGCGGAAACCAGAGAGAGCTTTCTCTCTGGTTTCCGCCGGAAACCAGAGAGAGCTGGTTTCCGGCCGGAAACCAGAGAACTTTTCTCTGGTTTCCGGCCAGAAACCAGTGAAGGTATCTCTCTGGTTTCCGCCGGAAACCAGAGAACTTTTCTGGTTTCCGGCCAGAAACCAGTGAAGGTATGGTGTTGTTGAAGGAGGAAGTCTGGCTTTGGTGTGTGTGTTTAGAAGATGGAAAATGACTTCCCCCAAAAAAAAGGGGAAGTCATTTTCCGGAAAATAGGTGTGATTTTCCATTGACCATAAGTTGTTTTCCATTGACTTTCATTTTCCTTGCGTAGCCAAACACCAGAAACCCGGAAAATGATTTCCAGAAATCATTTTCCGGGTTTCCAAACACACCCTAAGAGTATTTTCGTCATTTTCAACTTAAAATTTCAATTTGAGCATGAATAAAGAGATTTAATGTCTAAGATCGATCTCAATTCGCAGTTCTTCTCCTCATCTTACCTTAATTTGAGGATGAGAACTACGAATTGAGATAGATCTTAGTGCTTAAATCTCTTTATTCATGTTCAATTGGGATCTTAATTTGAAAAGGACGAAAATACCTTTAATAATTTCATATTTCAGCATGTCTTAAACAAATGGGTGATCGGTGTGATGATTTTTTGCATTATAACAATAGTCGTGGATGAAAATTGGTATAAATTAAACATGTGGACCAAAACTGTCATTTTACTAATACTCGTGAGATAAAAATTGGTATTTGCTCAATTTCAATTTATGCTACTTTTTCCAACCCTTACTTCAATGAGGATTGCAAATTAGAAGCTCTCTACCCGCTGTAGACTGTAGTATAGCTCCCTTATTTATTATTTTTATTTGTTATTTTTTGTGGTTTCATGGTCGATTTTGCAAGAGAGACTGAATCTAAATCTATTAAAGCTCATCTCTAGCCATCTTCAAGTTACAATGAGTAATCAGCATCCTCGCTCTTTGTTTGATAGGAGAAGTTATTCCCCTCTCTCTTCCTACAAGTTAAACCCCCCGGCCCGTTACCAACATTTTTCTTGGGTTTAATTTGTGGGATCAACTTTGTTCACCCTCTCGAGTTGGCCCATCTATCAGTGCTAGCTAGCTGATCGAAGAACAGAGGTATCTTCAGGGAAATATATCTCTACACGAACTCCGATCCAAACTTTGATGGTTGCATGCGGAATTACATGATTTTCACCGTTTGAGCATTTTCTTTTTCTTATTATAATAAATAAATTAGTCCGATTTTCTCCTACGGCCAGCATCATGATGACGCAGAAAGAGCTGCTATATGCTTCTGCTCATCTTTTTTTTGGTGTACTCAAGATTTTTCAGTCAATCATAGTGACTAATTCACTAGCTGAATTATAGGTACCTCTTTTGACCGATACGGTTGGCTTGAAGATTTATAACCTCTTTTGAGGACGATGGGTATTTAAGCTTCAACTCTCTACTTAAATTTTAATTCTTTTTATTATTTGAGACCCGGCCCCTATTTTGTTGCAGATTATGCAGGCTTATTTAGGGATATTATTCCACATTTATCGGTTATTGGCACCATTGTTGCAGCCACAGTGGTACTGTTTAAAGAAAAATTTATTGATGGCCCTGGATTTTCTCGTGCTTATTGGACGTTAATCTTGTTGAGTAGTGATATTCTAGAATCGTCGGATTTTCGTGAATTACCTAGTTTGTTACTCTTAGTTCGCATAGGTGAAAATGCAGTTGGACTGGCGTGTTGGATAGTTGTTTATGTTAATGAGTACAAAAGGAAAAACACATGGCCTTCTTCAGTGGAGCTACTGTTTGAAATTGGAGTATGGATATTTCTGAGTTTTTTGAGTTTGTATGAATATCTTACCAAAATGCTTGTTCCGGAAAAAGAATTGTTTCGCGTACATTATTGGTATCCAATTGCAGTAGCTTTTGGTTCAATGATTGCAAATTATTGGACAAATATATGGAGAACTAGTGCAGATCGGTGGAAATCACAATTGATTGGAAAAGCTGAGAATGCCTTTGATGAATTAATAACAACTTTCATGAAAGAACCTCAAAATGATAATATAACCAAGTTCGATCAAAAGTTGACTGATTTCCTAAAGATGTTATCTATTTTAGTAGCTCAACAGCAGGAGGCTCATGTTATCTATTTTAGTAGCTCAACAGCAGGAGGCTCGATCTGAGGCAGCAGAGTGTGGGAACACAGCATGTCAGAGGCTCTGATCGTATCAGGAAACCTGCAAGATGCATGGATGGATAATAATTTCGTTTATAATTTTACCTACAAATTATCTGCTGAATTTTGCTGTCATTTACCAAATACTCTTACCGTAGTAAATTACCTTATATGAGAGGCTATAAAATTAGAAATTCTGATACTGTGAGCTATTTAAGGTACGCATGTACTGGAATATCGTGCTTATTTATTTATGTCATGTTTGTGAGATGGAAAATACAATATTATCCGTGTTAAAATGGGGAATAAAATTGTTTGACAAAAATTGAACAGAAAATGCACCAAAAGGACCAAATTTGCTAAGAAAGTCATAGTCGTGGACCAATTCTACAAGTTTTAAAAGTCGTGGATCAAAGTTGTTAGTGACACCATAGTCGTGGGACAAAAAATGCAAAAAACTCACTACGAACACAAACATAATTATATATACTTCACAATTAATAATCAACACAAACACAATATACTTATACTATCAACTAGTCAAACATAATTATATATACTTCACAATTAATAATCAACACAAACACAATATACTTATACTATCAACTAGTGGGCGGAAAGCGGGATCATTAAGAAGTATAGTTCCCTGCCAGTGGGCAATAGTAGAAGCCCTTCTGTCTCACCACTCAGAAGCTCTCTGATTGCAACATACACAAACAAACAAACAAATCATATGATAGCCACAAAAAAAAGCATGTGCATATCTTTTAGATAGAGCGAGCCAAAGTAAGAGTTATCGAAGATGAGCGGGTTGGTAGTCCAAGGGCTTTCAAATCCAGACCACTCCTTGTCTCACCTTCCCTGAAACCAATTTGGAACCAAATGTTAAATTACATAACAAAGAGGGAAGGGACAAATGGAAAACAAAGCCATAATGTTGAAGTAGCCTACCAGGTTATGGCCACCAGAGAGAGCAACAATATCCTTTGTAGAGAGTCTCATGCGTTTAGCAAACACATCCCTTAGGTGATCATTTCCTGATTAACACATGCAATAAACACATCCCTTAGGGGCATATCATTAATTAGCAAACAAATCTCAACTTGAGAGTATATTTGCTAATTCCCTGGCTATGACAAATTAGAGATATGAACATAAAAAGACTAACCTTGCACGGTAGCATCAGGAAGATGACATTCAACTGGGAGCTCTGTCTGATCCTGATATGAACAAACACAAATTTGTAAAGATAAACAAACTAACAAGGGCCACATGTTAGTTCATCAAAATGCAGTTCTAGTAATGATCAATAATAACTTGCACAACAGTGAAAAATGGAAATTAATTACCCTGAAGCTGCGCTCTCTATATTTTTGCCAATAACATCAAACAAAATGTTCATTTCAACTTCTTTAAATAAAAGACATTCCAGACTCCAAGCAGTACAAACGTAATGCAGTACCTGATAAAGATCTGCATAAGAGACAATAGGGAACTACTCCTTTAATGGCTCCAACAACCTAACTGCAATGTCAAGACCATTATTGGCACCATGAGCTTGCTCAGCCTTGAGCCTCATGGACCTCCAGTCTTGGTCGAGACATCATAAGTTCCAGCAGAATGCCATCTGCAATGAAAATCAAGCCAAATTCACATAACCACCAAACTATTTAGGGTGTTTGGAAATCATTTTTTGGGTTTTTGGTGTTTGGCTGGGCAGGAAAATGAGAAGTCAAAGGAAAACTTGCTCTGGTCAATGGAAAATGAGTCCATTTTTCCGAAAAATGACTTCCCCTTTTTTGGGGGAAGTCATTTTCCATTCTCTCATCAGATGAAGCTCTGCCTCCAAGAGACCAGAAAGAACCAACCACCAACAAAAGAAAATCACCACTGCTGAGGAAGAAAGGCAGAAAGGGATGTTGCACTGCCGGAAACCATCCCCACTGCTGGAGGTTCATCCCATCGTCGCCATCGATCTGCCCGTTGTTGCTGAGGAAGATGGAGGAAGAAACCCAGGTCCGCCGAATCTGCTGTCCACACCGGAGACGGAGGTTCAATTTCACCATTTATGTTGCCGCTGAAGAGAGAGACGAAGGTTTCGCCGCCGGCGGCATCCCCTGCTACTCTCGTATCTCGCGCGGGTTGGGTCAGAAACATCAGGAACGGGAAGGCATTAAACAACATCTGCATCGGCGAGTCCGCGGCGGAGACGGGAACAACACCCACCAAATTTCTGAGCTTTGGGTTCATCAAATTTGTGAGCTTTGGATTCATCAAATTTCTGAGCTTTGGGTTCATCAAATTTGTGAGCTTTGGATTCATCAAATTTCTGAGCTTTGATTTCTCTTAGTCGGCGACGGAGACGAGAATAATGCTGGGCACTTGTATTTTAGCTATTTTTTTTTTAATATTCTAGCTAAATTGTTTGTTTTTTTTATATTCCATTGATTTTTGTGATTTTTTTTTTTGTTTTGGATTTTATCATTTTCCTACTCATTTTCTGGAAAATGAACCAAACACCCAAAGACAGTTTTCTGTTATTTAGCCAAACACCGAAAAAGAAAATGTTTAACATTTTTCAAAAAGTCATTTTTCTACTTTCCAAACGGACCCTTAATTCAAGAATATCAACAGACTGCAATAATGTACAAAAAGAATACAGAATTCGCACAAATGATAATAGGGATGGCAACGGGGCGGGGCGGAGGCGGGGAGTATACTCCCCGTCCCCGTCCCCGAAACCCCGACCCCATCCCCGTCCCCGGCGGGGAATTGAAACTAACCCCCATCTCCGTCCCCGCGGGGAATTAGGCGGGGACGGGATTCCCCGGTCCCCTTTCAATTCTTAATCAAAATTTTAAATCTTAATTATATATATATATATATATATATATATATATATATATATATATATGTATGTATATAAAAGTAATAATGCAATAATAGTACAATACTGTAATGCTACGGCAGTACAGTATTGTTGCATTATATATATATATATATATATATATATATTGCAACAGTACTGTACTGCCGTAGCATTACAGTATTGTACTATTGTTGCATTATTACTTTTATATATATATATATATATATATATATATATACATATATATATATATATATATATATATATATATATATATATATATATTATTTATTTATTATTATTATTAATTATTCGGGGATGGGGCGGGGCGGGGAGGGGTATCCCCGTCCCCGTCCCCGTCCCTGTCCCCGTCCCCGTCCCCGTCCCCGTCCCTGTCCCCGTCCCCGTCCCCGACGGGAAATTATAAACATTCTCCGTCCCCATCCCCGTTCTCCGAAAATTTGCAACATCCCCGTCCCCGTCGGGGCAGGGATCGGGGATCCCCAACGGGAACGGGACATATTGCCATCCTTAAATGATAAGGGAGACTAGAGAAGGTGAACAGATATTTAATCAAGCCAAATTCACATAACCGCTCTCCTCATATTCAAAAGATAACACTAGTATTATTCAAAATAAATTCTTAAAATTGCATATATATATATATATATATATATATATATATATATATATATATAACAATAACAAACAATAATATTCAAAATAAATTAAAAAATCAAATATAAAATTAAAAAAACGCAACTTACCGTGAAAGAGGCCGACAATGGCGACGGCGGGCAGCGACGGCAGCAGTGGATGAATGGAGGCGACGGCAGCAGCATCTGTGGAGGAATGGAGGCGATGGTTCACGGCGAGGGAGTGGAGAGGCAACGGCGGCAGTGGCAACGACGGGCGGCGACGGTTGGAGAGAAGCTTCACGGGCGGCGATTCTGCACCTCAGATTTATTTTTGGTATGTATGTTGAAGAGAAGTTTCAGATCTGCGTTATTCTCTATTAGTGGCACATTTCGACCGGTAGGATTTATTTAAGGAAAAAATGTCAAATTAGCCCCCTAGTCGATCAATTAAGTCCAAAGTGACTTGTTTAACAGGTTAAGTCTTTACATTGTTGACACATGTCTTTTTAAAATATTTTTTTAAATATATTTTTTAAATTTTATTTATTAAAATATATATTATATATAAAAAAAATAAAAATTAAAATTAAAAAAAAAAAAACAAAAAAAAAAAAACAAAGCTGTTTTATTTTTTGAAAACGCACAAAGCTGTTTAGGTGGCTGTGTTATTTATTTATTTATTTTATTTTATTTTTTATATACAATATATATTTTAATAAATAAATAAATTAATTAATTAATTAAAAAAAAACAAAAAAATATATTTTAAAATGACACGTGTCAACAATGTGAAGATTTAACCTGTTAAACAAGTCATTTTGGACTTAATTGAACAATTTTACAGATTTAGGAGATCTGAATGAAGTTTTTTTAGTTATGGGACCCAATTGCACTATCTGTTCGACTTAGGGGACAATTTGACACTTTTCCCTTTATTTAAAAACATTGAGTAGTTACATACAATAATCGTTACACTTGTGGCTGTCTATATTGACATTTGTTAGTCCATTCGGTTTTATTCGCGCACTATAGTAAAACAATGACCCGAAGGAAGCACGCACCTACCGCGTAGATAGACTTTTCCGGATCAAACGGTTAGTCGAGCCATTTCGACTGGTCGGATTTATTTTCAAATGTTGAATATTTACACACCGTAATCGTTACATCTGTTGCTCTCTACCATTACATTTGTTGGTGCATTCGTTTTTTTTTCTTTTTGCCACCAGAGCAAAACTGTGATCTGAAACTTCGAGACCGGAATAAAGGGTCAGTTTATTTTCGCCCATGAGTTTTTCCACCGAAATATTTTCAACTTTGTGCATTGAGAGTTGTTCGTTGTACATTATTCGTCTATTTCAAATTCTGACTATATAGAGGATAACACGCACGCTATTTAGGTGCGCTAGGTTTGTACACCTTACTATTGGGAGCATTTAAAGGAAAAGCACCTAGTGAGTTGTTTTCCAAGTTGTCCCACATTGGTTCTATAACCCTTTATTTTCCCCCTTAGAAACCCCAACCCTTTTGAGAAGGTTTGAACTATTATGAAGAGGGAACAAGGGAAGATTGTGCGCGCGCCATCGCCGCCCGCCTGTCACGGCACACGGTGGGGTCAATGTTTTGCTTTGCTTCCGACAATACTTTTTCTACCCTATTTTTGTGGATCAACTCAGCACCTTGTCCGCATGATAGCTTTGTGCGTGTATGCTTAGAGTTGGTCTTCTTCCTCCACTTTTTTTTCCTATTCAAACGGCTGGTGGGGGGTGGGCAGTTATATTTGCAATATATATATATATCGCCTCCCCCCTTCAACTCTGAAATACAGAAACCATATGCAACACACTGCGTTTTTCCTTTCTCTATAGTCTGAGCTTTTGCAGGTTGAATCCTGTAATTCTGTGCTGCCTGTCGAGAACATGCGATACCCTGGTTGTAAATGTTTTTAAGGTAGTGTTACCCAACATGACACAGAATACTCCTTTCGTTCAGTGTGTTACTTCGAAACCAGCCACATCCAACATATCATACTGATGATTTTATTAGGACCGGGTCCACCATAAACCGGGTACAGGAGTACAGAACGGGGGGTAGGGCGCTAGGCCCAACACGATGCGTATAGAAGCCCGAGGTACAGGCCCAGGAACAGTGACCCAAATACAAAGAACAAGGCCCACAGGATTTGGCCGGTGAGTATGATGCTCGGGATCCTCTAGCTGCTCGGATTTCGACCGGTCCGGGTCGCCCTCGTCTTCGTCCTTACGATCCTGATCATGTGGACTTCATTGTTCATGGAGTGCGAGATATGGTACCAGCCCATCAGCGCTTCTGGATTGATAGTACTCTGATGGAAACCTTGAGTTCCCGCCAAGTTGGAGATTCCATGAACGTGAGTGGTCCCTCTCCCTTTTTTTTTTTAAAAACCAATCCATCGGGCTTCATCAGCGCCTGCAGGAGGCCTCTCGAGAGTATGCCGAGTTAGAAAAGACACAACAGGGTTTGGAGCATACTCTCCGGGAAGAGGAGGAGGCTCGTAGGCCCAACACGATGCGTATAGAAGCCCGAGGTACAGGCCAAGGAACAGCGACCCAAATACAAAGAACAAGGCCCACAGGATGGGCTATAGCTACCGATGCTACTGGTAGGAATCGAACCCAGGTAGCTGGGTTGAAAGTGTAGATCAAGACCACTAGACTAGTGTGCCTGTCGTGTACAAGTTGCCCCCTTAGCCAAGGATCCAGGACCCCTATTTATAGCATACCTCCCATCCTTCTTTGGCGTCCACATGTCCCACATTGCCACTTCCCACTCCGCTTGCTTCTCGCAATTTACATCACGTTCTCCACCTTTCTCGGCTCCTATCGCCTTTGCCACCTTGCTCACACCACCCCCCGACTCACCATGCTCGGCGCACCCACCCCTCCTGCATGCGGATGCCGCCCGAGACCAACACCCCGGGACGACTGTCGCACAGGACCGCGCGCCAGATGCGCCGGGTGCGCCACGGCCGGCCGGGGCCAACGCGCCCGGGCCGGCTCTTTCCTCGGTCACCAGCGCCGGCCCCCACTCGGGGCCGGCCATGGCCCCAGTGCGCCGGGCGCCAAGGTCGCGCTGGTCGCGCCGTGGCCAGTGCCCCGGTCGGCGTCGCTGCCTGGCCACCGGGGCCGGCTGTGGCCCCCGGCACGCGCTGGGCGACAAGGCCGCGCTGGTCGCGCCATGGTCGACCGGGGCCAGCGCCCCGGTCGGTGTCGCTGTCCGGCCACCGGCGCCGGCCCTCGCCTGGGGTCGGCTGTGGCCCCCCACGCGCCGGGCGCCAAGGCCGCGCTGGCCCGCGCCGTGGCCGACCAGGGCCAGTGCCCAGGTCGGCGTCCCTGCCCGGCCGGCGGCGCCGGCGGCCCCTCCTGGCCTTCGGCCCAAATTCTTCGCCTCCCCCTGTCGGCCCAATTTCGTAGGCCCTCTGCGTCCATGGCCCACCTCCAATATCCCCATCACATACATACACACGACATTGTTGTTCCCAGGTTGATATACTGCATACAACCCAACTGTTAAAAACATTTACTTATCAACAATGTCTGAGCCATCCAATCCATCCTCTGATGTTACACCAATTCAACCACTCACGGGTGGCTTGAACTATAGAAGATGGGCTGCCAAGATAGTCATGCATCTGGAATCAATGGATGTGGATTATATCATTCTGGAAGACCCTGCAAAAATCTCAGTTGCTGCTCATGGTCATAGTCCAACGTAGACTGTGCAGCAAGAGAAGTATACTGCCTCGGATGCTTATACGGACCCGAAGTCTTCAGCAGCTTCGAATGATCCAAAGTCCTCATCATCACAGGTTTCAGCAGCTTTAGAGGCAATTCGTACTAAGTACGAAAAGGACAATAAAACTGCTCGTGGGATCATCCTTCAAGGGGTTTCAGACCCATTATTTGACATGTTTTCGGTTCACAAGTCAGCCAACGTAATTTGGGATTTACTTATTGAAAAATATGGTGCTGACGATGCAGGAAAGCGCAAATATGTTGTCGGTCGCTGGTTACATTTCAAAATGGTAGATTCTAAACCAATAATTGAACAAGTGCACGACTTTGAAAATCTAGTCGCAGATATGAGGGCAGAAAGTGGCGTTGTGAATGACGTTATCCTATGTGACTCGTGATTGATAAATTTCCAGACTCGTGGGTGGACTTCAAAAATAAAATGAAGCACGACCGCCGCAATTACACATTCCAACAACTAATAATTAGCTTGAACATCGAAGAAGAGAATCGAATGGTTCACAGGTTAGTTACTCTTTTTGATAATGTTAAAGCCATGCGGTTGAAACTAACTCTGGTTTTGACAAGACAAAGTCTGGCGACAACAATAGAAACCAAAAGAAAAATTATAAAAACAACGGTAACAACCGTGTCAAAAGTGGCAAAATTCAAAAAAAAAGGGAAAAATAATGGTGATTGCTACGTGTGTGGGAAAAAGGGCCATCGTGCTGGCCAATGCTATCACCGCAAAGGGGCTACTAGTCAGAATGGCCAGAAACCAAACAACGAAGGGCCTAAACATAATCAGTTCACTCTAGCGTCATAAGCATGCGCAGTGGAAAACAAGAGATGGAACCATGTAGAGCCAGTAAAAGCTTAGAGGATGAAACTTTTACTGTCGGTCATGAGGGAACCGACGGAGTAAGGTAGAACAGTTCGAAGGTATCGTGTGTTGGGTATTTAGTCTGCTTCTACATGTGGATGCCGTCGAAAACGAAGAGAATTTCAAATAGAACAAGAAAGACAATTCTTCGTGCCGTGTCATATGAACACTACCTTACAAGCTTAATATTTTCCGGTGACGGGCCGACAAGCTTTCGACAGGTAAACACGAATTTATATGTAAATATGCTCAGACCTGCTGTATGAAAGCAAAGGAAGGAAGAAGCTTTTTCCCTTGTTTTTTGTTCGAAAGGAGAAGGGCTATTTATATTGTGAAGGCTGAACTGATTTCTCCATTGAGACCACAACTCCATGCGCAATTTTAGTGGGAACATCTTGAACGATCCCACGTCTCAAATTTTGCGGACAAGGAGAATGATTAAGTCAGTCAGCTCTAGAAAAATAGGAATACAATTAAAACCAAATTTTTCTTCTTTATGAATGGATTCCAACATCGTGCTCACTGTGGCTGACTCCAGAAATCAATTTACCAATAGCTATGAGAGTATGCAGTCACATGTGTGGTTAAATCGTTTTGAAGACAGACAAATTTTCCAACCTCTAAGATTGGAACATCATGATCATCACTCCGCACTGTTCAATGTTACTCCAGTACTATCATTATGACAGATCGTTATTCCAACCTCTAAGATTTTACTTGCAATACATGGGTCCGTCTCTTGTTTTTCACTGTGTTTGCTTATAGCAGTAGACCGTGTTGGGAAACATTCAAAGCTAATTTTGTGGATGAATTTGCTTTGTCAGAAGAGCACTTGTGGACAACATTAGTTTCGCATGTTTTGTCCATATAGCTCCTACAACCATGCAGCGGATGTAAGGAGTACTACTGCATTATAAAATAATGCTTCATTCTCCATTTCAAAACACACCAAATTGCTGAAAGCTATATACACTACTGAGTACATTAATTTCTGTGGATCTGTCGAAGATATAACGATACCCTGGTCGTTAAATATTTTTAAGATAGTGTTGTCAAACACGACACAGAACGCTGCCGGTTTCCTGTCCCAAAGCAACGACGCATCGCAAACTACCGTCCAGGTATTTATTCTTGTTGTATTGCACAACAATTAAAGATATTTAAAAATCAGGGAGGCGATGTCTACTGCAATGAAGCCAGCTTCTGATGTCACACCCATCGAAATTCTCACCGGCGGTATGAACTACAAACGATGGGCTGCAAGGATCATCATGCTGTTGGAAGAGAAGGATGTTGACTACGTGATTTATGATGATCCCACCACCTTCATCCCGAATGCTACGACTGCGGCCACGACTGCCACAACCGGGGCAGCTGACAAGTCGGACAAGACAGCTGATCAATCGGACAAGGCAGCTGATCAAGCTCCTGCACCGAGGCCTATACGAAGCACATCGCAGGTCTGTCCAAAATATGTGAAAGACAACAAAACTGCGCGGGCCTCCATTCTTCAACGGGTAACAAATTCTATTTTTGACATGTTTTCTGGGGAAAAATATGCAAAAGCTATCTGGGAACAATTGCAAGAAAAATATGGTTCCGATGACACCGGTAGGAGGAAGTACGTCGTGGGACGATGGCTGCATTTCCAGATGACCGAATCCAAAACCGTGGTGGAACAGGTACATGACTTCGAAAATATGGTTTCTGATATGCGAACTGAAGGTGCTCAAGTCAACGATGCATTCTTGGTCGAAGCACTTGTTGATAAGTTGCCCGGGTCGTGGGTAGACTTCAAAAGTAAA